GGTGTGAATTTATGATTTAGGAAGGAAGATTTTAAGTTCTAAGCTCTTACAATACGAACAAATTTATGATTATGATTTTATCAATTTATGTTTATGGGATATTGACATATTAAGTTTTGATTTTTATGCTTTTAGTTTGGATTTTAACATGGAAGAAAATCGACCTTCTACCGAGAAAGAAGAACCGTGTTATCTTTCTTTTCAAAAAGTGATAAATCTAAAGATACAACCATAATAGCTAATGTTATATTACGACTTTTTTGACATATCTGAATTTTATTCATACATTAAATTTTTAAAAAATATTTTGCCCCCCGTAACGTTGAGTCCTAGCTCCGCCCTTGCATGAGAACTTGAATATTCAAAATTTTATCTTCGTATTTATTAGCTAGTAGTAAAGTCTTTTGGTTGGAACGTTCTTCAATTATAAAGTGTTCCTTTGGAGCCTTCTTAAACTATGGAACGAAGGAAATAATAATAGTCATTTCATCGAATACATGCTAAGCATTCATTAACAGCTATCAAGCAAAAAGTGTAAAAATTGAAGCTTCTCCTCATCTTGTCGTGACTCCATGCCTCGCGTAAATAACTCTTTGAAGGTTGACTTGGTGGAGGAATAATGGAGTGATGAAAGAAACAACATGTGGAAGTGACTCCCAGAGAGTCTGTGCAATTGAAGAAGTGGGTTAAATGGTGATTGCAGAAGGTAGACCAGATGGCCAAAGGTACAACCCTTGAAGCTGTTGATGTAGTCATGCCCCTTCAAATCAAAATCCAAAAACCATAGAAATTTAAAAATATATATATATAGAAAATTTTACAAAACTAAGAACAAAAGAAAAACTTACTGAATCCCTGTCATCATCTTTCACAACTATTTACTTGAAGGAAAGATTGCCTTCTCCCTACAAAAAATAGATTCTCAGAAGGAGAAGTGGAGACAACAAAATATTTTGTGAAAAAAAATCTAGACATCTTCTTAGGCTCTCCACTACCTCACTGATTCTTCGAATGCTCTCTGTTTAGAGTTTTCAGCATCTACCACAGCATGCTCAAGGTTATTGTGCAGGTCATGGGTTTCTTCCTCTGTTCTCAAGATTACAAACCTTTTCAATATTCATTTTCTCAATTTCTCATTCATTCCCAATTATAATTCCACCATCAAAAGCTTAGTAATCCAGCGTAAATTCCTTTTGGCTCAATGTTCTGGGTTTCTTTGGAGTTTCGAGAAAAGAATCCTAAGTTGGTGTCCATATTAAACTGCAAAAGTTTTTGGGCACAACATATGACGTGATTTAAAAGGGAAAGTAAAATATTGTGCATGAAAAAGTCGTTTTCAATATTTAATAGGTTCAAAAGGCTCAACAAATGTATGTAATACTTATTTATCAGCTAAAAGTATATGTATCTTCGATAACTATATTGAGCCTATGCATATTTTTTCTAACCCACTGTAAAGCAATGCAGCACAATGTCACTGTTGCCTCTAAGATTGGAAGAAATGTTTTACAAGGTACCTAAGACATCTTGGAATTGGACGCTTCACACAAAGACCAGCAAGTATCTCCTATCGAATTTGTGTAGTGTGTACTACAATTTCATAGCAAATAGTTACAAGGAAGAAATGCTCAAGCCAGGGATTGGCTTAATTGTGCCGTCTGAAGACAATAAACTCACCTAATTATGCCATCATCCACAGTGTTTGATACATGCTTATATAGAGAATCAATTATTTCAACCTTAGGCGATGGTGAGAACACATGCTTGGTAACAAGAGATTGATGGTCATTGCCTCGAGCTAACAACCTTAGAGGTTAGCAAGTTGGAATAAAACACAGAAACAAGTTCGAATGATTAGAAAGAGCAAGAAAACC